CAGATCTCTCAGCCAACAACAGAAAAGTCAGCAGTTCAAATAGCAATGGGGAATATGTCAATTAACTAGCACATGTGTGAGGCACGGAAACATGCTGCTAAGAAAGGCTGGAATGATCACGGCTGGCGATGACATGGAGACCAGGCATTCTTCAGAACGGTATGGGAAAATGTAAACAATCTAGGAACCCACCCAAAGGGTGACTAGCCCAAATGCCCATGGTTTCCAAATGGGAAAAAAGAGAAAAAGACAGTGGAAAAATCCAACTACTCAATCTAACTTTAAACTGTGAATGGCAATAATGTTCATTCACATTAGAAAGGCCAATAATATTTGTAACGTAACTATTGGCAGCTAATATCCTATCTATACACCAATTTTTATCCCAAATATTCCATTTTGTTCCCCTCACAGACAAGTGCTACTCCTATAGCAGATCTCCTTTCCTGTACATACCAATCTGTATATCGGCATGATAACTACCAAGTGGCTCAGTGGTATATGTCTCATGGTTAACTGGCTGCTGAGCTGAGGACAGAATCCAGGAAACCATAACAGACTGTACCCTGCTCCTGCATTTCAGAAAAAGCTATCTGTAACCTGTCTCTGCCCAACTACACCTTCTGTGAAGAACACCCAGAGGAGCAGTTCATTCTTTTGTAAAGGGATTGGTGAACTTGGTTCAATATGCCATTTTAAAAGAAATAGAACAAGAAAAACTAAGACCTGCAATGTAAAGCATAATACAGGAGATTTGTTACAGCTACTCCAAATTTTAGAGTGCTACAATGACCACAGAGTTAAAAACTATCACTGTTATCGCTGTTTATTTTACAATAATTGGTTTAGTCTACAAGTTTAAGGCAAACATACTAATGCATTTGCTTTTCTTCAGAAATCATACTTATAAAGATTACATAAAATATGTCCCCAAACTCCTAAGAAATGTTCATTAATTAAAAATAAGTCTGATTAAGATGCTTTACCAGGATACACGAATGAACTAAGGTGGCATACGATGCTTTTTAAAAAAAAATTCAAGGGCTGACTGGTTAGGTCAGTGCATAACAGCGTGGTGCTGATAACACCAAGGTCTAGGGTTCGATCCCTGTACTAGCCAGCCACCAAAAACAAAAAAACAAAACAAAA